ATTCCAAACCAAGTAACACAGCCCCTGATGGAATGATTACAAAGGCATCATGAGGCCTTACCTCTTGCAATTGTTATAGATGTACTTACTCCTGTAGGATGTTGCATAATATCCTGTATTTATGGATTAGTGCAGAAACTTATAGAAACAGCACTCAGCAAAACCTTTAATTCTCCACTGCCTTATTCAGATAAGCTTCTACTTTTAGAAAACCAAGCAGAATAGCAGAATCAAGATATGCTAAAATATTTGAAGAGAAATTATGAAGAATTATGAAAATCAAGAGGAGGAAGTTGTTGAAAACAGTGAGTTCCTCTTCAAAGGTTCCGCTTATCCTCTATTTTCAAAGCTGAACTTCCTTGCCTCTTTGCCCCTAGTTATGGTAAAACAACCTTTCAGCCATTTCGAACCTGTAACCCACGTCCATTCCCAGTCTGTAACTCACACCATTCCCAGTCTGTAAACTACACTGTTCCCAATTGGTAACCCATATCTGTTCCTTATTTGGCACCCTTAGTTCTGTAACTGCTCTTCCCACCCCTGCTCCATTTGAAGTAGCCAATTGGGATTAGCTTAGATTGTGTGGTCCGACCCCAGCCAGTGGGTACTGGACACAGTAGTAGGGACTGACTGTGTTAGGGATAAAAACCCTTTCCCTCCTTTGTTTGGTACAGTGTCACAGTGACCAGAAGAATTAACAGCACCCATCTGCAGAAGTAATTTTGCCTTGCTGAGAAATCGTTTGAGTGCTTATTTGCTTTGCAATTCTGAGCTCTTATTTTCAACATAAGAATTATTGTTTATATTCTTTGTGAATTTATAATTAATGGTAAAGTATTTGTGAGGTTGGTTTTAAGCTATAGATAATTTGGTGTGCTTTGCATGTCTTTCTGTACCATTCTGTCAAAGAAAGATACCTTAGATTAGGATGCAGGCCTAGGACCCCACAAGCCTGCTATTGAAGCCAGCACAACAAAATGGTTAGTAACAAACTTGGGTACAGGCCTCCATCTTGTTTCCTGTCCATGGGAACGTGATCTACAGCCATGTGGCAATACTTTGTTTTACTCTCTGCCATTTTACAATGGTGGCTGTCTTCTTGTGCTAAGTCAGTTCCTGCATAAGGGCCCCAAAATTATTTAAGCTAGTTTGTCAATCTGGGTGGTGTCAACTGATTTATAAGAGGCAGAGTCTACAAAATATCTTAAGCACTGATCTTGAAAGCAGTTTAGGGAGGGTCAAAATCTTCTAAGTCTCTAGCTGGATGACTCCTAAGCCATGGTTTCAAATCTTCTGGCTAGTTTCTTGGTCTCATCCCCGGGCAAGAGGGAAGTATATTTTAAGAAGGAACTGTTACCATCTTTGTTTTGAACTATAAACTGTAAACCATGCTCCCCCAAACTTGATGAAGCTTATGTTCAGGGATGGACAAGGACAGCTTGGAGGCTGGAAACAAAAATGAGTTGTTTGAGTCAGGTGTCTTTCATTGTCTTAGTTACAATTTTGCAATGACAATTTCAAAAGCTGCTTATCCCTCCTTTGAAAATACCTTGCACACTCACAGTTAAGTCATGACCTAATTAAGGCTTATTGGTTTCACCTGTAAGGTTACTTTTTGTAAAGTTAAAAAGTTGTAAATCTTAACTGCTTGGCATGGCTAAAGTATGAGTAACAAGGATTAAAGGACTTTTTAAAGAGTGCTCGTCTTAATTAAAAGTGGTTATTCAAGTTACAGGAATATTTAAAAGTTTTCCTGGAAAACTTTTTTCTTCTCAGTCAACTGAATTATTTTTCTCCATTTTTTTGTCTTACCACACTTAATGCATGCATGAGAGGCCCAAAGATAACTTCTGGTAGCATGAGATTCCTTGGGAAAAACAGAGGAAATGCTACAGGCCCTGTTGTGGGGAAAAAACTTCTGTTTTCCCCATGAAACCCCCAAAATTAAAAGCAGATAGTTCCCTCTTAAAATCAAAGGCTCTGTTCTCTGATATATTGTGTTATCTATCACTTCATGTTTTGGGGGTTTCAAATTACTTCACATTATGAGAGAGCTTTTGTGTTTAATAACTAAGTAGAAAATACAGTGTAAGGGATGGCTAATAGTAGTTATAAATCAGAGAAGCATGCTCTTGGCCACCTGAAAGATGAAAATATCCCACCCTCCACTAAAAGTAAGACTCCCATGGGGGATGGGCTAATTGCCTTCAGCTGTGTCTGCTCATTATGCCCTAAAAAACAAATGCATGCTACCTGGACCTGTTCCTCCAAGGGCTCCATCCTAAAGCCAATAATCCAATAAAAATCTGGCAAATAAAAAATCTTAACAAGTGCTGAATCTTCTGTCTGTGTTGCTGTATATGTTTTGTGTGTAATGTCTATAAAAGAGCTCTAATTTATTGGCTTAAAGAAAAGTTATTTTTAGTTCTTGTGGCTGTAAGAAATAAAAATAGTCTTAAGGATTATTGGTAGAATGCAAATGTCCTCAAAATGCAAATAGGTGGTCTAAATCATATAACTTAGAAACTGGGGTTGCTAAATGTTCCCAGGCTGATACTTCCTGTTTTACAGATAGGTTAGTCCTGGGACACATGGAGTTAGATACTGAAATTTCAAACTTTATCTCCATTTCTGTCTGTGTCCTAGGATGCACACCTGGTATATAATTAAAATTGCTTACTACCCAGGGTTTTCAGTCATGTTTTTAACTGTAACTATCCTGGAAATTTTGTCATTTGTAGTCTTGCTTTGTTCCTTCTCAAAAGGCAGTTTTCCATCAAGCTATATTAAGGACTTTAGAAGATGTCCTCAAATGAAGATTTTTAATAGCCTTGAAACTTGTAACACTGGAATAGAGAAAAAAACATATGGCAGTCATAACGAACTGACATGTTCACAAATATCAAGCAAAACAAGAGTTAAATAAGTGGACTGCACTCAGAATATTAAAGCAGCCTTTTTAACTTTTGCCTGGAATATTCCTGATCCTTGTTTTGTTTTGCAGAGTCAAGGAAACTTATTTTAAACTATTTATACCCTTTAAAAATTGAGTGAGGTATACTACTGTGAACAAACTTTGGAGCATATTTATTTTTCTCTGGTTCCTCTAGAATTTGGAGACTGTGAGTACTCCTAACTTACAGCAATATAGTTGTTTGCATCAGTGCATTAAGAATCCATTTTTCTTTGTCAACAGAACACAACTGGAAGAACTGGTTATTTTACAAGGCTTTGACTGAAAGGGTGTGTTTCCCTTTAAGGAATCAAGTTTGACATGCAGAGCCAATAAAGCCCCTTGAGGATAACTGGCCTCATACTTTGTCTACGCAGTGCCACACAGGGTTTCTAACCTTTGGTCAGTGAAGAATATCTCTTTGTAACAGGTCTGGGAGCTCCAAAATTTATCTTGGGTCCTCACAAGACAGGATCACACAATGCACAGGTATTTGATGACATAAACCCATGGCTGGGCTCAGCTTTAAAGGTCTTATCTCAAATTCCTTGTGGAACAGTTTCATCAAAGCCAATCCAAAAGGCCTATATAGAAATAACCATTCCTTCTTTACTTTATACAAATAATCAGTCCAAGTATAAGACTAAAGTTTATTCTACCAGCAACACACACGGTCCGGTCATAATTTGTTTTTACAAAAAATGAGGGTTGGTGAGAGAAATTTTGCTCCAAACTTATCATACCTTTGTCTTTAAACCCTAGTCTTATTCATTGTTTTTAACCTTTTATCCGCATTTTAGACTAATCCTGCTTATTCCTGTGAATGAAGTGGTGATCTCCCACAATTGGAAGAAACAAAAGGGATGGGTAATGTAAAAATCCGAATCACGATGCTAGTCCTGGACAACTACCCTGCAAATGCTGCCAGGTGATAAAAGTGAGTAGGGTACCCAAAATCTGGAGGTTCCTCTGTTTGGGAAAATAAAACCAAGAAACTTCATAGACCCCCCAAAGGGAAATTCTATAACTTGGTAAGTAAAATTTTAGGTGGAAATTGTCTACTTCACCATACTGTGAGAAATGCTACGCTCACCCTACTATACAGGTAGGGTGAGTTAAAGATCAAATCAAAATTATTGACAAGCTCAGGGAAAATGAAGGCTACAATCCTTCTTTTAGTGAATTCCAGTCTTCTTTGTGGAATTGGTTAAGTCCTTTAAGTCTTCTCTCACTTATATGTCTGGTATTAATATTTGGACCCTATACACACAATACTATAACTCGAATTGTTTCTTCTCACCTATAAGTAATCAAACTCCAAATGGTGCTGCAAAATGAACCATGCATGGACATGACATTTTTCTGAGACCCTTAGATCAACCCCAGGAGGAGCCCTAGTTGCTGTTCCCCATTCAACACCCCTTTTCAACAGGAAGTAGCTAGAAAAAATTATTATCCAAAACTCTGTAACAGCAGTTAGGGTGATGCCGCCACACAGGTATAATTTATAAAAGATTAATCTGTGATCAACAGTTGGCAGAAATTCTTATTATGATTTTTATAACAGGAAGTAGGTAATTCTGTTGGAGATAGTGAAACTGAGGCTTAGAGGGCTAAAGTCATTCAACTAATAAGAAACAAAGCTGAGATTTGACTCCTGGCCCATCACCCTCTGAAGGTAAAAGTTTCAACAACATAACTGCAGTGTCCCCTTCCTGTGGGTTGCAGCTCTAACCTGCTGCAGCAGCCTAACACAGTTGTACACCACAGCCATGCCTTTAGCATCTCCTTCATTCTCTCAGCCCTTCAGGCAAAGATATCAACAGTTATATTTCTGCTTTAGTGTTACCTCAGGACCCTACACCTTTTGAAGATGCATGAGGCAATTCAGTTCACAACTTACCTGAGTTTCATTCAGAGCCACCAAGTCTAAAGACACCAAAGCTGTGTTTTATATGATTAATGAGGGTTGAATATCTCTACCCTTTTTCAGGTCCTGGTGGTGGGCAGGCACTAGAGTGAGAATCTCTACGCTGGCAAGGCTTACCTGGTACCTCAGGGAAGAGAGGAAGAAGCTTGTTCTTAGTCAAACTTGTTCCTGCAAACCCAGGGCCAGGGCCAGGACACTGCACAGGCAAGAGCACGGCAGGTGAGGATGGTGATGACTGTCCAGCGCTTTTCAATCTGAGAGGAGGAGGAGGGTGATGGGTGTGTCAGGCTGGCATAGGGCCTGCAGTAGGTGGATGCCAGGGCAAAACTTTGCACCTGTTGCTGTGTTCTGCTTCCACTGGATTCTGATGTACCCGCCAAGGTACATTTGTACATCAGGATGTAGGAATTCAGTCCTGGCTTTGCTTTCTGCAGATACCACAAAGTTGAGGGTCCCTGCTCCCCTTCTGATACCATTTTAGGAAACCACAAGGCCTGTTAAAAAAAACCCACAAAAACTCCATGTCTGTGTGTGTGTGTGTGTGTGTGTGTGTGTGTGTGTATGTGTGTTTTAGGAAAAGAATGTCAGGGTTAGTGGATACAATGGGACACACTGTGGTTGTCAGTTGGTGTGGAGAGGGGAGAACAGTCTCCAAAGCTTCTGACCTTGAACCCCTCACCTGGTGTTTAATAAAATTTTCATCAATTGAGCTGATCTAACTATTGATTTTACTCTTCCCATTAACCATAGTACTGCTCAGTATTCTAGATTTAAGTAAATACTGCTACAGAATTCATTGTTAAAACTCCATATGTTTGCATTGTCTGTCCTCTTTTCAAGACTCCCAGAAACCATTCCCAAACTACAATTTCAGTTATACTTTTGAGACTTTGTCTCAAAATTTCTTTCTTTCTAAACTTTTTTTTTTGTAATGATGGAGCAGTAGAACACAGACTCTTAGAGCATGATTTTGAAGCAATGTGGCTAGGTTCTCTACTATCTGGAAAGCTAGTTGTAAGGACCACATGACATAAATTATGTAAAGCATCAGAACAGTGCCCAGGACAAAGGATGCCAGCCATGTGGTGGTTCATATCATGATTAATCTTGCTTCTGAGCTGATGTCTTGTGGAAAACCTAAATGAGGTCTGTTTGCGAAAACTCCTATTGGAGAAAGAGGATTAAAATGTTCCCTTCATAGTTGCCATTTCATGTGCATGATTTAGAATGTGCTGGCTGTGAAACATGACCATGTGCTGCAGGCCTTAAAGAGTGAACATATCAAAACAGGAAAAATGTGAGTGTGAAAAGAGATTCTGTTGATTACATTGTCTGTCAAGATGTGAAGTGGGACTTTTCCAGCAAAAAGAACAGTCCCAGTCCAGTTGGATCATTTGTTTACCCTGTCATGACAGACTTGAGACCAGTAACAGTTTTGATAATTGGCCCAGGGAATGGCGTAGGCAGAACTGAGAGGTTTTCTTAGATGGAGTCCCCTTGCCTTGAACAGATTCTGTAATTTTCACAAAACCATGTGCCCCATTGTTGTGTGCTGTCTCTGGTCTCTTGTTGGAGGGATGACGTATATGTGTTAAGACCCAAGGGCAGAGCACCTGGTCTGTTTGCTTCTCTTTGTCCCTCGTGGGGATTTCTTTTTACTGCACATATTTGACAATTTGATCCAATGTCTATGTGGTCTCTTTTGTTAGGCTTTGACCAATTATAGCCTTTTTTTCCATTTTAACAACATCAAAAGGCTTAGAATTGTACCGAGGTTTTCCACCTTGCTAGAATTTCTAGTTTAGGGCCCACTATTTCTTTTTTTATTAGTTTTTTTTTTTTTTTTTTTAATTTTGAGATCAAGTCTCACTTTATCACCTAGGCTGGAGTGCAGTGAAGCAATTTCAGCTCACTGTAACCTCAGCTTCCTGGGTTAAAGTGATTTCTAACTCAGCTTCCCAAGTTGCTGAGACTACAGGCACGTGCCACCACATCCAGCTAATTTTTGTACTTTTAGTAGAGATGGAGTTTCTCCATTTTGGCCAGGCTGGTCTTGCACTCTTGACCTTGTGATCCGTCTGCCTCCACCTCCAAAAGTGCTGGGATTATAGGCATGAGCCACCACGCCTGGTCCCACTATTTATCTTTACATCAGTATAACCAAGATCAGCATGTTGTCTTTCCTTGAAAAAATTGTTATTTTCTCCTTTTGCCCATGTACTGTAAGCATTTCTGGACTCTTTTCTTTTGTGTCTGAACTTAACGAGAATGCATCTAGAGTTTCCTATATGATGTTTGCTATATAATTTTGCTTGAAACTCTTATTAGGTAATCTAAACCAAACCAGAAATAAAAATCTAAATATATATATATAAAAAAAGTAAATCTTTACCGCTTTTGGGCACAATTGAGGAAAATCTATTTGTTACTATGAGGCTTGGCAGAACTTATTAAATAAAATATAAAATTCACATGTATTAAAAGAAAAAATATTCTATAGTAAACAGTTTTGTTAGTAAAAAAACAAATATTTGGAACACACAATTCAGTATCCATAATACATAAAATACTTTAAAAATAAAAAGTATAGACCATGAAAAAAATTAATAAATATGCAAGCACGCAATTCACAGAAAAGGAGAACTTGATGTCTAAATAATATATGGAAAAATGTCCAAAAGTATGAGTTTTCGAGGAAATGAAAATGTTAAAAATGTGAATTTCTTTAAATTATTTTAATTGGAAAAGTTGACACACTTCGATAATTGCCAGGTATTGGCAAAGATCTGGGCAAGTGGAAACTTCCATAACTCAATGTAAGGTGATATTTTCTATCTGTTTGGAGTTAGTTTTGAAATATTATGTGTTCTTGAAATTTTTCCATTTTGCATATATTTTCAAATATACTGTCATAGCTTCCATTATAACATTCTTTTATTGCTTTTATTGTTTGCAGGAATTGTATGATATCCCCCTTTTTCATTACTGGCAATATTTTTTTTTTTTGTGCTTGGCATTTATCAGTTAACCTTACAAGATAGTTTTTAATTCCACTAGTTGTTCCAAAGAATCTGTGATTTTTGAGAAAAAGGAGGACCTTAACTATGTCAATAATATTTTGTATATTTTAACATATTATTTATTTTGAAAGGTCTTTAAGTAATTTGATAAAAATATAATTCATTATTCTATTTTTTTCTTTTCAACAAAATAAATTATGCAGTATTGACAATGTTAATTTTGTTAGGATTTTTGTCAATGTGTTTGACACTTAGAGGCTTACTACACAATCTTGTTGTATATATCGATTCATTATAATAATGAAATCTGTAGAAATACAAATAATTGAGAAGTAGACCATTCCAAATAGACTGACCTCCTTGTTTCAAAGGCATAGTCTCTCATACAAGGTTGTCCGTATTAGTGGTGTTTTCTGTCAACCTTATCTCTCCTTTTAGAGGGTAGTGTCACCTGATAACATTTTTCAGTCATTGGAAATCTCCTGAAACAGAACAACACACAGAAAGATACCTAGCTCCAAGCATTTATTAACTGAACATGGAGAACATTCTGTATCTGGTCATACCAAATAAGTAATAGACTTTATCCTTTTTTACCACATGCTACCAAAGTAGCATCTTTGTTCCTTATCAGTGACTTTCTTTTTTTTTTTTTAATTGTAACTTTAAGTTCTGGGGTACATGTGCAGGTCTTGCAGGATTGTTGCATAGATACACACATGGCATGGTGGTTTGCTGCCTCCGTCACCTACATCAGGCATTTCTCCCAATGTTATGATTGGGAGACCTCCCAATCCTCCCCACAACCTGCTGTCCCTTCCCTAGCCCCCAAACCCCCAACAGAACCCAGTGTGTGATGTTCCCCTCCCTGTTCCCATGTGTTTTCATTGTTCAACACCCACCTATAAGTGAGAACATGTGGTGTTTGGTTTCCTGTACTTTTTTCACTTTGCTGAGAATGATGGTTTCCAGATTCACGCATGTTTCAACAAAGGATATAAACTCACCTTTTTTTATGGCTGCACAGCATTCCAGTAACATCCTCATGGCTCATCCATGTAAGTATATGACAGGATTATTTCTTGTTAAAACTTAAAACTAGTCTATCTTATGTGTATAACAGATGCTGTGTCCTCATTCATTCCTTGATAGACATTTGGGTTGTTTGGACTGTTTGGTTATTGTGAATAATACTGCTTTAAAAATGATGGGGAGGAATATCTCTTTAAAACCCTGCTTTCAATTATTTTGAGACCCTGCTTTCCAGTTCTAACCAGAAGTGGGATTACTGAATCATACAGTAGTTTTGTTTTCAAATTTTTGAGGAGCCATGTTTTTCTTTGCCTTTTATTTTTATAGTCACCATTCTACTGAGTGTGAGGTGGTATCTCATTGTTTTGTTTGACATTGAGTATATTTTCTTATGCTTGTTGGCTATTTGTTATCATTTTGGAGAAATGTCTATTCAAGTCCCTTGTCTGTTTTGTAACTGGGTTGTTTGATCTATTTGTAGGGCTCCTTTATGTGTTTTGGATAGTAACTCCTGATGACATATATAATTTTCAAATATTTTCTCCCATTCTATAGGTTGCTTTTTCACTCTGTTGAATATAATCTTTGATAGAAAAATGATTTTAGTTTGATGTAGTTCCATTTGCTTATTTCGCTTTCATTGACTGGGCTTTTAGTGTCATATCCAAAAAATTGCCAAATTTAGTATTATGAGTTTTCCCCCTTACATTTGTTTCTAGGTGTTTTACAGTTTTAGGTCTTCCATTTAGGTCTTTATTATTTTAAATTTTGAAGTATAATTGACAAATAAAAGATGCACATATTTAAGATGTATAAAAGTTGATGTCTTGACAGAATATACACTTGAATAATCACCACTGTGAAGATAATTAATATAACCATTACATCAGTCCAGTCAGCATTGAGTTATATCAAATGTAGTTTGATCAGCCTTGTCAGTCTTTCCTCTGTTTCAATACAGGCTCAGAGAAACTGTCCTTCAACAACTCAAGGATAAGAGAAATTTGAAGTTGGAGATGGCTGAGTGCACTAGTCTTCAGGGCCGGAGTTTTCTCAGTGTAGTTTCTGGAAGACCTGTGAAACGTCTGTTGTGCATGCAGGCAATGTTGAGCTGTTTTAGGGCCCAGAGATGAGGCATTTAAAAAATGGAATGCCTAAAATGAAAAACATAA